TCTTCTTACTAGAGGATATCAAAACCCATGTTTCTCACTTCTGTTTTGCCACCGCCCTTGGCACTGCCCTTGGCACCTACCCATTCAGCAATAGGCAGGGTTCAATTTTTAGATACATGTCCTACACAATAACTTTAGTTTCAATAAACCCTTAAACACTTCATGGTATTCAAAGAACACTAACAATTCTGAAGTTTATGTGATAATATGAATTTCATCTATTCTCACATTAATCTCATTGGTAAAAATCCTTGGTACCAGGTGGCTGGGAATTAAATGTCCCTTATCAATACTTCAACAAAGACCTAAGAATTGCAGTGGCAACAATTAAAGTGAGAACAACAATTTTTGATGCTAAAACTAAAACCACCATCGAAAACATTGTAATACTTCAGTATGCCCTGGCTAAAACACCATACACCTAGGACATACATAATTTTACCATGGCATTCCTGGCGAGAAATGGCAATAGTTGAAAACTCCATCTATAATTTGTCATAGTCACAATTTCCCACCCACTAAAAGAAAAAGAATAAAAATGATTTTGGGGGGCTGTGTGTGTGTGTGTGTCTGTCTGTCTGTCTGCCTGCCTGTCTGTAAACCAGGGCACTTTCTGCCTTCTTGCACATGTCTTGCAAATGCTTTCATACAATGTCTAGATAAATTAAGTAATACTTTAAGAATGGTCCATCACAGAGTTGGTCTCCAAAATATACAAAGAACTCAAGAAATTGATCATCAATAGAACAAATAATCCAATAAAAATGCTCTACAAACCTAATCAGAGAACTCTCAACAGATGACTCTAAAATGGCTGAAAGATACTTAAGGAATTATATTCAATATCCTCAGCCATCAGAGAAATGCAAATCAAAACAACTTCCAGATTCTATCTTACACCTGTAAGAATGACCAATATCAAAAACAGTGATGACAATTTATGCTGGAGAGGATGTGGGGTAAAGGGAACACTCCTCCATTGCTGGTGGGAGTGCAAACTGGTGCAGCCACTTTGGATATCAGTATGGTGATTTCTCAGAAAACTACGAAACAACTTTCCTCAAGACCCAGCAATACCACTTTTGTGTATATATCCAAAGGATGCTCAATCATATAAGGACATGTGCTCAACTATGTTCATAGCAGCATTGTTTGTCATAGCCAGAACCTTGAAACAACCTAAATGCCCTTGACTGAAGAATGGATATGGAAAATGTGCTACATTTATACAGTGGAGTACTACACAACAGAAAAAACAATGGCATCTTGAAATTTGTGGGCAAATGGATGAATCTAGAAAACATCACATTGAGTGAGGTAACCAAGACCCAGAAACACAAATATCTTATGTACCCACTAATAAGTAACTTTTAGACATAAAGCAAAGAAAAACCAGCCTACAAGTCACAATCCCAGAGAACCTAGACAACACAAAGAGGACCCTAAGAGAGACATACATGGATCCAATCTTCATGGGAAGTAGAAAAAAACAAGATCTCCTAAATAAATTGGGAGCACAGAGACCATAGGAGAGGGTAAAAGGGGAGGGGGGAGGAAGGGAAGGGAAGGGAACAGATAAAAATATATAGTTCAATAAAACAATTTAAAAAAGATTGGTCCATATGTATCAAATGCTTTTTCAGTGACAAAGACTGTAATAATGTTCGATTTCCACAGTGATCCTTGTAACACACTAAAAGGTAATCACTCTCCCAACTTCAAGTAGGTATGGGACATTTAAAAGCCCTTTATGAAGTTAGAAACAGGTAATACTGACATTCAACTCTAGAATTCACAGGTTCCAACTCCACTGTCTTCACCACCATCCTACAAAAATTCCTTAAATGAAAGCCAAGCATTTGCTTCACAACTTATGTGGCAATGTGTGAGTCCCGAAAGACACAATTTAATTATTTACCTTAAATGAGGCATGTTAAAATGACAATGAGTTCTCAACAGGTGGACACCATCATTCACACATTAGGGGAAGAAGGTTAATTGCTAAATTTTAAGAAAAGTCGGCAGTCAATTCCTTGGACAGATCTTTTCAATAAAATCTTGCTGAGAGCTACATTCTCAAATAAGTACATAAGAATAAGCAACAATATGTGGCAGTTTTTAAACCTCTTCAGTACTTGAGGTACTAAACAAACAGATGTTTGGGAAGACTGGGGCTTATGAATACCGCTCTACTGTCAACAAATTAGGCAACATCTTTGCTGCCTGCTGCTAACACAGCAATCTCTTACATTTAAAATTCTGATAGTTTCTCCTGGATGAAAGAGAATTAGAATATATTCACACAGGATGGAGTAAAACAAATCAAGGAGTCTTTGTTTGGAATGGTAATGCTTCCAGGAGAAGTTAAGCAGAAAGTACCAGTAGGTCCTGAGCATCAAATGTTGAAGAAAATATTTTAAATAAACAATTACTTTCCATTCCTTTCCTGTATCATTTAACTAAGTGGAATTTCCAGAAACTCTCCACCTAACTTAGAAGCTTCTGGAGACACTGACTACTTTTGCTTAACTTCTATGACCGATCTCTAGAAAGAGGGCACTCTTTCTAGATCAGATCACCAAAGCCACCTTACCTCGACCAATGTGTGATCTACAGATTCAGTGAGCTTTTATCCGTGGTGGCCAGAGAGGGTGCAGGGTGTTATTTCAATTCTCTTATATGTGTTAAGACTTGCTTGTGCTCTGTGTCCAAAGATGGGAGAAATCTGAATACAGTACTTTGTGCTAGGTACCAACTACAACGAACATGATAGAAAGTACACAAACTCATGCACCCTAAATACCTCACTACAGAGTGAAAGGTGGGTCAAGGCAGAAATAAAGAAGGAATTTTAAAACAATTTAGGACCAAATTAAACACAATATGACAACATCTATTGGACATAGGGAAGGCAGCTCCCAGAAAAAAAGGTCATAGCTCTAAGTGCCTAATTAAAAATAAAAAACAAAACTGGAGAGATCTTATGTAAATAACATAATGATACATTTGAAAACTTAAAAAAATGAGAAGAAACAATTCCTAAAAAGAGTCAAAGGGAAGGAATAATAAAACTCAATGCTGGCATCAGCGAATGAAAAACAAAAATAGCATGCATAGAATCAATGGAACAAAATTGATTTTGTAAGTTGTCCTGCGTGAGTTTCCTTTCATTGTACCTTGTCATTTTCTGAGTGTCTGGTCTGAATTGTCAACACAAACCCTGTATTTTTGTTCAGAGTGAAAAGAAATTTGGTTTGTATAATCTGTGTTGCTTAATAATTAAGCAAGGGGATGCAATAAAAAGCTTTTCTGTACAATTGCTGAGAAAGAAAAACATACATGATTTACTGGTGATAAACTATGAGTCTCCTGATGTACTTCCATTCTTCCTTTTATCTTTCTGAAGCTATAGAAATGCAGTATCACAATTCTAAAGCTAGAAAACTGAAATTCACAGATATGGAAAACATTTCCAGGCAAAACTACTCAATACCTAGAAACACAATGGTCCTGTGTTTGGTTTTGTTAGTACTGGGTGCTAGGGATTCATGCAGGTTAGAAAAATACTTCTACCACTGACCCACATCTCCAGCCCAACAATGATGAAACTGAAATATAATTTATGTAACTAAAAACTCATTACTTCACATCTCTTGGAAATAAACGTTACAAAGATAGAAACACACACACAAAAGGTCTCCTCGCTAATTAAACGCTTACTGATTTCAGTTCTCTCCCAATCAAAATGTTAAATTTCAAAATCCACTATAGTTCTCATCCACCATCTGTTTTATGATAAAATATCTGTGAATAAAATTTTGTGAATTGATTATTTTTAGATTTAAAATTCGTACTAGTTGCTTGAAATGACATTTTGGAAAGAAGCTTGGCTCCAGAAATGGTAGAAAGGTTTAGACATATATTCATGAGAAACTACAAGGAACTATAAGCATTAACTTTTCAAACTTTTTAATAACCTCCATACAACCCCTGGAAAAGATGACTACTGTCAGTGTTACAGCAATGTACTTAATATGGTTGCTGGTTTTGTAGACATACATCTCAGTAAAATTATCAGATGACATGGGCAGTCTGAGAAAGAAGCAGGACTTCACAGGAGAATAACAAATGGTCTCTCCCTATACATTTAATCATAATTACATCAGTAACATTTATCTCACTTGTAGAAGAATAAATCTTGGAAATATATTCAGATGAATAATCTCAAGATAATCATCATTTGGCAGATGGAGAGAAAGATGCAGCAGTGTTTGTACTCCCAAGTTAAAAATGGGCAGAAAAGATAGACAAGTTTCTCGAGATCATGACTCAAGACACCAGGAGATATTGTGCCATAGGATTTTAACACAGGCGTTAAAATACACAAAAATATAACACCAAACAGATGATAGAGAGATACACTATGTTTCAGAATCTTACACATGGTCCCAAGAAGGGCAGTTTACTTATCATCAAGTATTAAAAAGTGGCTTTAGAAGCTATAAATCTTTAACTCATTGAAGACTTTCAGCCATGAATGAATAAATATTCTTTCATAAGTCACTGTTACTGGAAGAATAATTTTTAACAGCCTTATACATTAGTATAAGTTGGATTATACATTAGGAAACAACTTGAATTCTATCAAAATCTTAATAACCTGCTGCCCTGAATCATTTCGGGTGGGAAGATGAAGCTTGGGATTTGGCATCTTCCCATTCCCAGCCAGCGGACTGCAGCAAAGCCTCCCTTTGTGTAAAAGTTGCACACTTTGTATTCAGGACAAGCTTTAATTTTGTTAAGAAGAGTCTCAAAGTACAAATCAGGCTACTCTGGACACCTTTTGAACATCGTACTTCTTAATTCAGGTCACTCACTCTTTCTTTCCCACATCTGACTGAGTGTCCCAATTCCCTGGCTAGGTTTAAAAGGAAGAAAACACAACTCCTTCCTAGCGGCAACTCAAAGGACAGAAGCCGCAGGGAGCGCAGAGCCCGTACCTGATGCTGCTCATGCTTCCCGTCTCCGAGCCAAGCTTGCATCGCTCCAGCTGGCTGGCCACGATCTGGCGTTCAGCCTCCAGCTCTCGGGTCAGCCTTTCAAACTGTAATTCCTGAAAGAAATCCACCGGAAAGATGAATGGTAGCATCTATATGAAACACGAAGTTTAGAACCAAAGATGACAGGCAGACAGATGTGGAAAATAAGATTTTTTTTCAAGGCATCAACTTTGAGAAACAGAGGGTGGTGCTATATAATAAAGCAAGGACTTGAAAATTAGATGTGTAAGACACTGGCCCCCAAACACTAATATAACTTATTTATTATCCGTTTCATCCTGTTTTAATTGGGCTAAAATACTAATTTCATAAGTAGGAAGTGCGAATTAAGTGAGACACCCAGCTAAAGCACTTTTCTTACATATTTCACTTACAATTTTTATTATTTTGTTTGATAAGCAAAATTATAAGAAGTCACATATTTAAGAAAAGTTTTAACAGTTATTATTTTACAATTTCATGTCTAACTATTTCAAAAATTAAATTATCTGCACAGTTATATTTCAGGAATGAGAAGGAAAAATATTATTGCAATCTAGAAGTAGGACAGAGGTAGATTTTTAGAGAATTAAAACCTCTCAAAGTTTAGTGGGTTTGCCTTTTCAACATAGTCAACTATCTTATTAGTCAACTTGAGATATTTGTGGGTAACGATTTCACATCACAGGCTGTGACTGTCCCTTTAGCTTTTGATTTATTTTTTACATCACATTTTATATTCCAACCACAGTTCTCCATTCCACTCCTTCTCTTGCCACTCCCTCACCCCTCAAGTCTGCCCTCGCATCACTCCTCCCAAAGGGTAAGGCCTCCCATGGGAAGTCAACATCTGGAACACAAACTTGAGGCAAGACCAAGCCTCTTGACCCTGCATCAAGGCTGAGCAAGGTATCCCACTATAGGGGATGGGCTACAAAAAGCTAGCTTGTTTAGTTTTATTAAAAAAAAAACAAATCAAATCTATTGTTCATAAAAGTGGAATTTTTTTAAGTGTTGATATTATTTGGAGATTCAAGTATAAGACACTTTGCAAAGGAGGGATCCCTCTTTTTACCGCAGTGGTAAAACTTGGGAGGCATGTCAGACAAGTTCAGTCTTCGCTTCTAAATATTCTGAATGGTACCAACTACTTCTGGTAAAAACTGAACATGAAGACTTGAACATGAAGACCCCTGTTGGATGAATCAATGTTCTATAGCCTGGCCATCTCTCTAAAGATTTAGAAGTTCACCCTCAAAGGAATATCAAATTGCTCATTTCTAATATTTAAATAATAGCATGTCTTAATTCTGTTTATGCTATAGGAAACCAAATCATATTTTTGTATTGAACATAGAACTTAAAAGTCACACAGGGTTGTTGCCATCCAGATGAAAGTCTATGATTTGTGTTTAAATTGCTATATTTCTTCTTCTCTATAGAAGACTGTCATGGTGACACAGTAAAGCAATCTGTCCAAAGTCAAGAGACACACACCAAGAACACACAATTTGCTTATAGCTGCTCTCATTGTATGCTTTCTTTATGTCATTCCAACTGTCAGGAAAATGGAAGAGAGTTAATGGTCAGGAGAGGTAGGACACAATGTGCTTAGGAGTGAGGGACATAGTCAATTGTCAAAAGTGATGGGAGGTACTCAATAGGCAGGACCATGGGAAACAATATCTTGGCCAAGAGTGATGGAAACAGTCACTGGTCAAGAGTGACCACAGATGTCAATAGCCAAGAGCAAAGAGAGACACTCAAATGTTGGGAGTGAAGGGAAACCACATCAAGTCAGGAGTGAGAGGAGACATGGTCATCTCCTTTATTGCCAGGAGATATTGGCAAGTTTTCATTTGAAAACTGCATTATGAACAAATACTATCCAGCATATGACATCCCTTTAAACAGACACAACATCCACCTTCCTGAAGAAGATCTTTAAATATTTCCTATATTGTAAGGTTTTTCTTAAGATTTATTTATTTATTATGTAACCTCAGAAGAGGTTACCAACTCTCATTACAGATGGTTGTGAGCCACCATGTGGTCACTGGGAATTGAACTCAGGACCTCTAGAAAAGTAGCCAGAGCTTTTAACGGCTAAGTCATCTCTCCAGGCCAACTGTAGGTGTTTAAAGAAGAATATTTCGAAATTTACAAGACTTGAATATGTCTTTATTTTACAATATCTTCTACTAAAGTTTTTTTTGAGAATTTCATATATGAGTACTGTATTTATATTTTCCCTCCCCTTTCCCCCCTTTCAACTCTTTTCATGACCCCTCACTCTTTCTCAAATTATTGATCTGTTCCTTAATTAATATTGTTAAATACATATGTTTGTAAATAATCTGCAGAGTCCATTCAAAGTTGCTCATTTTCATGTGTTTAGGACTGACCTGCATGACCCTTGGCATCTGCCCAAAGCATTTAACATCATACTACACAGATACTTGCTCAGCCATGTTCATTGCTACTCTTTTCACAGCCACTAGGAAACAACCTAACGGTCCTATAACTGACAAATGGGTAAGGAAAATATTGTACATGTGTATGGTGGAATGTTATTCAGATGTAAAGAAAAATGATCTTATTTTAAAGGTATTTTTTGTAATGTTTCTCACTTAAACTGTCTCTGTCCAAAATTTTATAAAAATTCACATTTATTTTAACTTTATAGCATTATAGATATGGTATTTTTTCTCCCTGCCTTTAAGATATTTTTTTCCACCATTGATTATGTGAAATTTTATAATGTTCCTTGACATAATTTTTACTTAGAATTGACTAAGCTGATCATATTAGTGAATTGTTAGCTTCCATTATATAGAAGCAAAATTAATCTTTATGATTATTTTTTATTAATGTTTATGATTTCTGCATGCTCTTCTTCTTTGAGAATATACTATGTTACTTAGAACTGACCCTCAACTCACAAAACATTTATTTAAGATTTTTTTGTGCTTCATTTTGTGTGTTTTCTATTGGTGTAGCCAAGCTAAGTAATCTTTTCTTCTGCATTGCTTAATACTTCAATAATTCTTCCCAAAGTATTTTATCTTGAACTCTGGTAAATTAAAATCCCAATAGCTTTGCTGGGGTAATTCATCTGGGCTTCTTGTTAGCATGGAGGAATATACTTGTGTCACTGTTATGATGTGTGTATTTATCAGTTGCAGCATCTTGTGTTAGATCCAGCTGATGACTGACTTCTCTCTTCAGCATGGATCTCAGTCTAGGCTCCTCTGCACAAATAGTGACCTTTAGACATGAAATGACTTCCAGTTTCCTTTTTTTGTGATTTACCAGTTATCTTCTGACTTACTTGGGGAAACAGTACTTTAACCTACTGTCAATCATCCTCCAAGACCCTTCTGGAACTGCAGTCAGTACTTCATAAACAGAGGGGATTCCTGGCCTTACTAGAGGAAGCTATCATGCATTGCCAGCTCTGACTGAACTCCAGAAACCGTGTCCTCTTGTGTCTTCAGATGGTTATTTTTCTGCTCTTTGATAACTTTTGTACTCAGATTCTCTTCTTTACTCTTTGCTAAATGAAAAGACTCTGCCCCCAAGGAAAACCTTTTGAATCTATGAGCCCGAGAACCTCAGTGGTGTTGTATGTGGTCGCTTGTTTGTTTCCCGGCTGCCCAGACTCCCGAAATAACCACATAGAAACTGTATTAATTAAATAACTGTTTGGACCATTAGCTCTATCTTATTATTGGCTAACTCTTTCATCTTATTTTAACCCATCTACATTATTTTATATTTTACCATGAGGCTCGTGGCCTACCGGCAAGGTTTCACCATGTCTGTCTCTGGCTGTGGCTCCATGGCTTCTCTCTGACTCCACCTCCTTTCTTCCAGCATATAGTTTAGTTCCCCCCCCTCCGCCTAGCTCTACTCGACCCTATCACAGGCCTGAGATAGTCCTTTGTTAACCAGTGGTATTAACAACATACACAGGGGAATTCCACATCACAGAGGCATTTGTTTCCCTGTTTGTCCATCACTGTTTCTGCCTTCCTAGATCATAGACAGTATGATCAGAAGCAGCATTCCCCTTTCCCAAGAAAATGGTTTAAGGCTTATGAGGAAGGCTATTTCAGCCACAATATATCACTCACTGGATATGGAAACTCTCGGGCTATAACCACCCTATCCTTGCATAGACTTATATCGAGATAAACAACTGAGTCTTAAAGAACTGTAACTGATATGACAAATAATTGGCCATTCAGTGGAAGGTTCCTTTTTCCATTGGTATGGGCCATACATTTGACCAAAATGTATCTGCATCTAGAGCCGTCATTATCTTCCCAGAATGGAGGTGACCCTGTGGCCAGGGGGGATGCTGCAAAGGTGGTGGGGCTGGAAAGACGACAGGCTGCATTAGCATGGTGTTTCGAGGGAGCGCAGATCTCTCAAGCCTGAATAAGCTCCCAGAAAGTAATCAGGAAGAGAGATGGCCCTCGGCTGATCTGGAGAGTATGTATGAGATCAACCAGAAAAAAAAGTACAGAGTTAAATAGACAACACAGCTGTCCACAGCTACACGACGCTGAATTAGTTCAACGAAGATGAGGCTTCCTGAAATAAGATGAGGAAATGCAAAGACTTGGAGAGCAGATTGAACAATAAAAGTCAGGCGGGGGGGGGGGGTCTAAAATAACTGTCTACTAAGACCTTCACCTACACAGTTCCAGCAGAGAAGAAATGATACAAATTAGGCTACAAAATACACAATATGGAAACTGGCCAGAGACACCAGAATCTGATGAGAATCTTGTGCCAGAGTAAGATAGAATGACCTGCAGTGAAGGACATTTTAAGAGATACAAAGTAGTGCAAAACATCGCCTTCCCTCCACTGTATAGTTGTTGCCCTGATTTATAAGGAACACATGTTTGTAAAAGCATCAGATCTATGACTCCAAGTTCATTAAAATGTACATGAGCGGACATAAATAGTCTTACTTTTAGAACAACGCATCACTGACTCATATAATACATTTGGATTATTATGAAAATTATCATATAGTTTTATAACTTTGTCCTGAGGAACC